ATGACGCTGAAAATAGTATCGAAATGATATTTATGACAAAGATATTGAAATGAAGAGTCAACAATGTCAACGATGTTACGAAAATTATTATGGTCACGGCGGAGACGTCGAGCATGATCATAATAATGATCATGACGATAACGATGATGATGTGTATGCCTTATAAGAATAGTATTCTTATTTTTTAACATATTTCTATACGCAAGTAGTACCTTAGTAATGACCGTAGTGAAGTCCTTATCTAAAAAACCGCCAGGTTAATAAATACATGCTATGTTGTCAACATAAACCACTTACAACTGGACATTCTTTTAAAATTGGTAAACGTGTCGGAAAATGGCATTTACTTTACTGACAACACTTGTTTTACCTTGTGAGTTCATCGGTTGCTGACAATACTTACAAGTCGGTAACAGACACTTGCGATATAGCTAAAGAATTTGAGGATTTTGAGATATACGTCTCAACAAGAATGGAAGACACGAGAATATCATCAATTATCAAAGAAATGTTAAAGAATATTAAAGATATTAAAATATGTGTACCATATTTATTAGATAGAGGAATTAAGTTTTTATAGGTAACTTGGAATTATGTTGAAAAGAAAAAGAATTAATTTAAAATCATCGTAACTAGATTTATATTTTACTTTAATCGAAATTTATTTACATTAACTGTAATTGTGTTAATATTTAAATTAATATTTAAAATAAAGTCGAAGACAAACTAATATGATTTCATATGTCCTATATTGCTAAATTTATAAATATTCGTAGAAAATTGATTCATATTCAAGGTCAACAGAGTCAAGTTGAAAGAGCAAGCGCCGAAAACGAGGTTGACTTTTATTGCCTCAGCTACAACCAACCTTGTGCATTTGGGAAAAGACAAAGATATCATATTTGACAACGCTATAACAAATATTGTTCTCTGCTACTCTACATCATTAGTGAACATCATATTCATATGGACACTTGTTGTAAATGGGTCAATCGTTGCGGAATTGAATATCTCAAATATTGCACGGTCTCTTGTTTTCCCGATTACCGAACAGGCATTTTTATTTTGGGACCATGTAACGCTTTTCCTGGAATGACACTAATGTGTTTCAAAATTTTAACCAGTTTTGTTTAATGTTGAATTCTGCTTAAGCCGTTGCTAGGGGGCGTGGACGGTAACTTGCACTTTCTATTACCATCCATAAACAGGCTCAATCAAGCTAAGCCTGCAACATTTTCTATTTTGCCGTGTCGGGCTTTCTTTAGGTATTCTGTTTTTTCTCTATTTAAGGTTTTGAGATATAGAAGCTGTATTTGGAAACCTATGTAACACAGTTTAAATTCATGTAAAAAAACCTGAATCAAATACTTGGCTGATTTATAATTTTTCAAATATTTCTTAAGGGCATTAACCTTGATTGGAGTAACTAAAAAGTACCCACTTTGACGATTTGGGGTTGAAAGAATCACCTGATTGGGAGCGTGCATCACCCTACTTGCTTTGTGTCCGAGCTTTCATCTACCATTTCAATCGGGAGATTATTGTCCCTGGTATTCAACATTTTTTTTGTGTTTGACATAGCTACCTTAGTTCGTTTTTGTAAAATTATTCAGACCCGTTTGAGCAACAGGAACAGGTAAAATTTGTTTCTATCTCTTTCCTGATTGGTTTCACCTGGAAGAGATGTATTCTCTGTAAATATGTGTTACTTAATCCAGAAAACATGACCGAAATGTGTTTTAATACGAAATGTGTTATAAAAAAAGAGATTTTCTCAGAATGAAATAGAATTATAAATGTAATCCAGTAGACTTGACTTTAAACTAAAACGTGTATTCCGACTAAGCATTAAGTGAAAATAAATCATGTAAATATATACTGTTAGCTTATAAATGTTTTCAGCCAGAGGGACATGCGTTATCTAAATCACACTGACATGAACTGAAAACTAAGACATGAAGCTGTCAAAGTATGATATTTAAACTATAACATGCAATCATGTACTGTAAAACAGTCAAAGTATGATGTGTAAAATAAATTTCAAAAACATACATCCACGAGGTATGATCAAAAAGTGCTCGGCCCGATATACCTCTAGCCACTACACTGACATTTACTCACGATACCGATATCTTATTCAGGATTACTGTACGAGTTATACGCGGTTTTACACAGATTAAGTAACATAAAACACACTTTGATCAGTGGGGGGGGGGTCATTTAGACAAAATGGAGAAAGTTGAAATCAGAGCCGTCAACAAGTAAGGGATGTCCCCCAAGGACATCTATGATGACTTCATGGATACACTTAAGAAGAAGTCCCCTTCCTATAGCACTGTGAAAAAACGGACTGCTGAATTTAAAAGGGGCAGGGGAAGCAGTGGAGATGATGAGCAGTCTGGGCGGTCAAAAGAGGCAACCAACGATGAAACTGCCGAAGCTGTGCACGATCTGGTCATGTGCGACAGAAGGCGACACATTCGAAGCATTGCTAGGGAAGTGGGTATAAGCTTTGGTTCAGTTCAGGCAATCCTGGCTGAAGCCTATGACATTACAAAGGTTTCCGCTAGATGGGTCCCCAGACAGTTGACTGACGACCAGAAACGGACCAGGCTTGTCATTTCAAGATATATTTTGTCTCGCTGAGGATGAACCTGATTTTATCTACCGAATCGTAACTCAGGATGAAACATGGGTCCATCACTTCGATTCAGAATTCAACAAACAGAGCATGCAGTGGAAGCACCCTGGCTCACCCCCTCCGAAGAAATTCAAGAGGGTGTCATCAGCAGGGAAGATGATGGCTTCAATTTTTTGGGATAGTCAGGGGATAATCATGAATCACTAACTTGAGCAAGGTCGTACCATAAACGGTTCGTACTATGAAGACGAATTAAGAAATCTGCGTCAAGTTGCGATGGCTGCTGCAACTGACTGCGGCTTTGAAATTCTTCCACATCCCCTTTTTCTCCGGACTTGGCCCTCTCTGACTTCTACCTGTTTCCGAAACTGAAAACCAAGCTTCATGGTAGACGTTTTGGAAACAATGAAGGTGTCATGGAGGCGATCAATGAGTTCTATTTTGAAGGGTTAAACAAGTTGGAGCACAGGTGGGCCAAGTGCATTGATGTAAAGGGCGATTATATTGAAAAGTAAGACCATTAGTTGGGTTCTCTGACTACCGGATTACATCGGGCCAAGAACTTTTTTGATCAATCCTCGTACTGCAAACTAAGGCATGTTTTCAGACTGAGCATGGCGTGTTAACTAAATCACGCAAACGTGTACTTTATATATAAGACACATCATCAGACTGAACGTTACATGTTACTAAATCGCGTACACATGTATGTAAGTGCCATGATTTCAGCCTGTATGTGACATGCAAACTAAGTCATAAATTAACCAAGTAATCAGCATGAAAGTCAATATATTTTAGAGTGGGTCAATATTGTTCGCTTCCAATACTGATTTGATATATAATAATGGTCCAATCATAGCTGTGTAAAGATACAATTGCAATTGAATTTACCAAACTATTTGTTGATACATATTTGAGCAAATATCTAAACTATTGTCAATTGTAGATGGCTTTCCTTTCTGTTTTGTAAGATTTTGCGTACTCAAAATAGAGAAAAACAGAATCCCTTAAGAAAGTCCAACACGACAACAGGCTCGGTTTGATTGAGTCTGTTCATGGATGGTACTGGAAAGTGCAAGTTACCGTCCTCGCCCCTAGCACCGTCTGAAGCAGAATTCAACATTTAACTCACACATTTGGTCATACATTACTTATAATATAATTAAAATGACGCTGGACACATACAGGCACAAAACTTGTGCATTCTTGCACGCACGCACGTGAATTTACAACCTCTCCAGCTCAAGTGTTATAGCCAGGGCTACGCACCAGATTATTAGTGAGAAGAAAGTTTAAAATGTCCTCACCAAATAATAATCGCTTACATATAGAGAAGTGAATCCATAGGTTAAACATGAACAGCGATAAAGCGACAGTGAGTTAAGAGATAAAAGGAGGGTGCAAAATTTAGTACTTAACCTTCTCAATTAAATTACGAACTACAAATTACAACTGAATTTATTTATTTCATTACACACAATTGCACGCGCACGCTTGCGTGCATGAAAACTGTGCTAGTTTTGGCAAACAATAAACAATATGTAAGTCAAATCACCTTTATATTACCTCCTTTTACAACGTACTTTAGCACGCACATGCGCATTATTTCGCAAAGTGTTTAATAAAACCTGACGAAACATTATTTTAAAAATCACATTTGTTCGATAAGTCATTATACATGTGTTATATCTAAAAGGTAAACGTTTGTGAACTCCTCGCACCAATGCTGTAAGAGAGTAAGAAACTAGCTGCAAAAGTTCTGAAATGAACGCTCAATTTAATAAATATGTCTTTCACATTAATTGAAAACGAGACTGCATTGATCAAACTGGATCCTATAATGATTAATATTTGAACACTACATAGTGCAAATGATGGAAGACCATTGTTCACATTTAAAAAGGTGTGAACTAATTGAATATAAGGGTAAAATCCTTGACTATTAAGTTAGAGATTTTGGGGAGCTAACAGGATGATGAAATTGATTATGATTAAAATGAGTTAATGAGATAACAAACTTATGAAAAATTGCCCGAAATTATGATGATGACGACAAAACAAAAAATGATACGGTGATATTTTTGAAGCTGATATGAAAAGATTCGATATTTTTAAAAAGTACTATTTTTTTTTCGAAAAATTCAAAATTTTAATGGCATGTTTTTGACTTTCTTTAGGGATTCTTATTTTTCCTATATATCCTATTTTTAATAATTAATATTTTATTGATAATGACAGAAAAACAAACTAAATAAGTGGGACATAGAATGCTTCTTCTAATCTCTTAGTAAGTACCTTTACAATACTCCTTATCTTATATTCACGTTCTTCATATATATATTAAATTACTTATTTACCAAAATCAGTTTAATTTGGACCTTCTTGCTGACAGAAGACTTGTCTGAAAATGGCATTTACACCACCGGTGATAATAATATTGTTTTATCTTGTGACGTCATCAGTGGCTGACAATACTGACAAGCCAGTAACAGAAACTCGTGACATAGCTAAAGAATTTGACGATTTCAAAAAATATGTTTCAACAAAACTTGAAGCTATGGCCGAAACCCATGCACGAGACATGCACAAGCTCGAGGAAATTATAAATGCTCAAGGAATGCAAATTCAAAAGCTTGAATCTGACAATGCTATGAAGGATTCTGCAATACAGGATCTGCAAGGAAAAATAGAAAAATTGACTGCGAAGAAAAACAATGGTTTTCAAAGTGCTGGGAAATCACAAAGCGATGAATCTTTTAAAGAAACGTCTACCAAATCACAAGTCTCCCCCAAAAAGAGAGGTAGGCCTTAAATTTCTGTTTCAATGAAGCTATCTTTTACAATATTTACTCTTTATTCATATTCAGAATGTCACTTACATGATTTTAAATAAAGTAATCCTTAAAGTGGATAAATCTATAATGGAAGGGATATAATACATTTAAACCTGTGTTAAAGACCACCTTCAAATAAAGGCTTTAATGTAAAAAAGGCCAGTCTTCAGCAACCCTTCATTGATTAAATAGAACATTATAACCTCCAAATAAAGGCAACTTATCTATAAAGGTCAACTTTGGTCTCTCCTTTTGGTGGCCGGTGTGAAATATAAGATCCAATATTACATATTTTATATTATACAATTATTGACTAGTGAGCCATTGAATATGATGTGATATTCACCGGCAGATGACATATTGACCGAGGCGATAGTTTTATTATATGAATAGGCTAAGAAATTTAAAAAATCACAAAAGTGCAACCTTATAATTATACATGTACAAATTTTGCCTCGTTGAAGCGCGGGAAGAAAGATGCACGTGTTAGGTGTGCAACGACTACGCGAACGCTGCGCATACAAAAATAATTCAAGTTTAGACTCATTATTGTGGTGTAACCCTTAAGTATGATAGTAAAGTATTGATATTTAATCGAGAAATATGCCATAAAGAAAAAAAGCAACAATTATTTTTTGAATAACACTCGTAATTAACAGTCTACGGTGTATGATCATTGAATATGAGTCTCAATCTATTTTTAGACTGGGAAAATCCAATTCAGCCAGTGAATATGATACTAAACCCAGTAAATATGATTTTATAAAAAGTTCTGTTGACTACTGATTGGACCAATGAGATTGCAGCTATATTTAGATCATATAATAAAGCTGAATATATCTTGTTCTTGAACAGAATATTATTATTCGTTCATAATGATTACATTATCAAATTTTTTGACAAGCAGTATTTTTAAGAATATTCATATGATACATCATCAATATTTGCCATACTTATGGAAAATTTACCCATTGTATACATATCCACTTTAAGTCCAGATTTTTATTTTATAAAATATAGGGAAAAACAGAGATTTTAAATGCGTTACATTTCTTTGTTAGAAAAAGTGCTTTATCTTTAAGGTCAACAACATAAGATGGTGGGAAGAGCAAGCGTGGAAAGCAAGGTTGCATTTTTTGCCACAGTTACAACACAACTTGAACATTTGGGAAAAGACCAAGATATCATATTTGACCACGCTGTTACAAATGTTGGTAATGGTTACCTACCACATCATGGAACGTTTGTGGCTCCAGTCTCTGGTACGTATGTGTTCTCTGTCACACTTCTGCATGGGGAGGAAGAAACCACATATGGTCATTTTGTTGTAAATGGATCAATTGTTGCGAAATTATATTTGTATAGCCAACAAACCTCTCAGCTTATCATTGTTAATCTAAGAAAAGGAGATGATGTTTCTGTTCAAAACGCAGATCTTGATCGGACCTTTATCTGTAGTCAATACTGCACATTCAGTGGATTTTTGTTATATGAAGTTTCCTCTGTAGATCAAATTGTTGGCTAAATAAAATTTGTCTTTACTTATAGTTATTTATGTATTTGACCGTTTCTATTTTTGTAACATATTCTTGTTGTTTTATAGGGTGTCGGCCTAGTGAATTTTCGTACTCTTTGTTCTATAGTATATCAGTCACATTTGAGGCTTAACTCTCGACGAATTATATACTGTCTTCAACATTAAACATCAACACTATCTAAGTCAAATGAGGCCCAAAATATAATATGTTAGCCATATACTTTTTCAGAAATCTTCATTTTGTTGTAACATTGTTTAAATTCACCACTTTAAAAACTCCTGAATGCAGATTTTAATGGAGTGATATTTTTAACGAAATATCGGTAAGGTTCTTGTTTATAAATTTCGTTTTCTTAAAGTGTTTTTTTATTATTTCATACGAACAATGGATTAATCAAAATATTCTTTAAAAATCTGGAAACAAAGTGATCCCTTGGAAGCATTAATCACAATTAACTCGGTTTGTAGAGACGTACATGAACACTTTATTGTGCTGGCATCAATGATCCTGAAGGACCAGAAAAATTGAACAACACTGAAGTGAAGTACGAGGCAACTTTTTACAGCTGCCACACGGCACTTGAAACCTGCTGGTGTGAAGGATAAAAATCTGGAAACAAAGTGATCCCTCTAATATATTAAATAAATGATATTATTTTGGCATAATCATACGATATATCATTCTTAATCAAATTTGATTATAAAAAATATTTGATGTAGTCTTCCTTTAATATAATAAATCTTACAGTTTTTTTTGTGTTCATTTCAAGACACTTTTTAAAAAACTATGGCAAAGTTTGGTAAACTTAGTTAAGTATTTCTGTTTTAGATGATAAGACTAAAATCACTAGATCTAAAGGCAATTCCTTATAATCATTTTTGACCGTCCATTTGAAACTAAACTTTTAATAACCTTACTTAACCTTTTACAACGTCTGAGAATAATTCATTTACTTGCTAGCAATATTAACATCAAACCAAGTACTTTTAAAGCAATGCCCTTATCATTTCTAATTATTACCCCTCACTTTTTTCGTAATGCTAATTTCCCATAGGCCTCTGGGAGTTATTCTTACTGTTAATGCAAGTGTACCACGTGACTACGAATTTTGTACTGTTACATAGGTAACAGTATTTTTTAACAGTATAAAATCTGGTCACGTGGTCTATTTTCTAAATAAAATGAAATAAAATGGCCGCCATTTTTTCTCGATTCATTCTTATTTTCGACGATAGGGCATCGCCGAAGTAACTATTACTCTGATAAAATTTAGTTCTTTGCAACCTAGAGTCCCTTTCGCGTATTAAATATCTTTTTGTTGAATAGTCAACAGGAAACATCCGTTTTCAACGGAAATAATTGTTATGTAAATAATTTTGTGTGAAACTGGAACATGCAGACAATTAAAGCATGCAACAAAGGATAATTTAACATTTTAACCAGTGAAACGTTACAGATACAGTAGAGTTGGTGGACAGACATCTGTAGGATATCATCGTTATTTTCTAAATGCACTTTGTCAAAAACTATGCGAAGAATATTCTGGATGCAGAAGGATCAGATTTCACAGATCATGACCTTATAAATGGGTTAGTGTTTTGTTTTCTGAACAAAACACAGCTTATTTTATGTTTATGACTGGTAGATATCATCACTTGCCTAAGGAATAAAAGAAAAAAATCTTCTCAAGTAGGCCTACAGTGCACTTAAACTTGCAAGGTAAGGACAGTTTAGTTATTGCTTCTCTTGGCTTATTTTTGTTACAGTTAGATTTAGTTGAGAAATTCAGATTATCACAGTATTTGTTCGGGGTAATAAAATAAATAACACATGGGTTTGTGGGTAACAGTAAAAATATCATCCCTCGTATAAATACTGTTACCCTCGGCTACGCCTCGGGTAACAGTATTTTCCTCGGGATGATATTTTTACTGTTACCCACAAACCCATGTGTTATTTATATAATAGTATGCTACATGACATAGAAACCTGTCAACAACTATCACCTTTTTATACCTGTAGGCAAAGTAAGTCAAAAAATTGTGAAGACAGTGGTATTTTTCTGCTAAAAGTCCTGAATGCTAGATTATTAAATTGAAAATGTTGCAAGCTCGGTTTGATCTCGTATGTTCATTGACGGTACAGTCAAGTGCAAACTACTGTCAATGCGCCTCCCTCTCACCGGCTTAAGTAGAATTCAACATTTAAACATGAAAATGGTGAAACATTGAATTTAGAAGTGTTCATACGGCGGTCATCATGGAACCTTCAATGTGAAATATTCGTGCCATTTTATGAAAAGCGATGTATGACCCATGGCCCCCAAGTTAATGAAAGTGTGTGCCTTGATTGATGCCAACACTATAAAGCGTTGCGAATTGAGAACCGCTCAAGCCGGTGCTAGGAGGCGTGAGGGATGTTGCACTTATACATTATCCCTCATGTACAGTCTCAATCAAACCGAGTCTGCAATTCTTATGTTATTTTGTTGTGATTAATGCTTCCGAGGGATCACTTTGTTTCCAGAATTTTAAAAAAAACGTAGCCCCCGACACACCCCAGCTACCATAGCAGGGTACCTAGAAGGCACCATACCGGACCGGGAGAGGACAAAACTTTGTGACAAAGGGACGGACGCGCGGATGAAGATTAACAATGGTGTTCTTACATTTGTTTTAGGTGTTTTCCCCATTGTGCCTTTTATCCACATGCAACTGTTTGTTTCTTATGGCTGAGTGGTTGCCTTTACTGGTTGAAGCACCAGAATTGCAACCTCGGTTTAACACTGATTGACCGTACAAGGCGACTAAATGAGTTCAAATAAATTAAGTCTCTGCGTCTCTTAGCTCCAGCAGCTGTGGTGGTTTTGACCCTTGGTGTTTCTTTAGGTATGTAACATTTGACGACAGCAAAAGACATCATTTCTATTTCGGCGCCTCAGTAACTAAATGATGTTGGTGTGCCGTTAAACCAAAACAAACTAATAAATCCATATGAAACCCTTACATAATGAAAAACATCAATTAATTCAACTGTTATCTTATTTTGCCATAAACAAATAAGCTCTGATTTACGTAAACCAGGAGACATTCATCTATGGAACGTCGTGACTGTCTTATGTGATCAATTTTTTTGCTATCTTGTTTAAGCATGTGCAATTTACATAATGTCTTGTCAAACGATCATGATGACTTGTTCAAACAGCATTTTAATTTCTCAAATTATTCTGATGACATGTGCCGACAACTTGTTAACTTGTCAAAGTATCGTGATGACTTGTGCTAGTTATCAAGATACTTTGACAAGTTAACATGTTGTTTGAACAAGTCATCATAATACTTCTACAAGTAAACATGTTGTTTGCACATGTTATCACGATAATTCGAAAAGATAACATGCTACTTGCACATGTCATTACGATAATTTGACAAGTAAGCATGTCCTTTGCACATATCATCACGATAATTTGACAAGTTAGCATGTCCTTTGCACATATCATCACGATATTTTGACAAGTTAACATGTTATATGCACATGTCATCAAGATAATTTGACATATTAACATGTTATCTGCACATGTCACCATGATAATTTTACAAGGTAACATGCTATTTGAACAAATCAGCATAGTCCTTTGACAATACATGGTGAAAATTGCACGTGTTAACATGCTGCTTGAACTCCAAAATAATATCATGTCACAAGATGGCAAAAACATTGATCACATAAGACTACGGAAGCTTGTATGTACCCCGCTATGAAGACATGAAGTCATCTCCCTCGACTTATAGAACACAACAAGTCGTCATAATTACGACGACAAGTTTATATATACCATGTCATTTTGACAAAATATATGTCATCATGTCGCGATACGGTATCCCGACTTTCATACGTTAATATATTTGTCGACTAGAAATAGCATGGATGTCGACATACATGTTACTTCAAGTCGACAAATTTATTTATGCAAGAAAGTCGGGATGCCGTATCTCGACATGATGACATATATTTTGTCAAAATGACATGGTATATATAAATTTGTCGTCGTAATGTTGACGACTTGTTGTGTTCTATAAGTCGAGGGAGACGACTTCATGTCTTCATAGCGGGGGTACATACAAGCTTCCGTATGAGACAGTAATGGTGTTCCATATTCATCCTTTCCATGCGGCGTTTTCGCCGGGGTTGATAAGATAAAGCATGCAAAAATCTTGGTCGTTAGAGATTATACTATCTCCCTTAGGGGCAGATCAAACGAAATAACGACGAAGATGCATACTTATGTTTCTAGGACATATCTGTGTATAACCATTGAAATATCAACTCTATGTTGCACACTACTGTATACAGACACCAAATTGTATAATAGAAAAATTAAAACAATGAGAAACAAAACCTGAAAAAAAAACCATCTCGACGACACATATGAGTATATAATGTAAATGCGCAAAAAAGTATACCTGATACCAAAACGATAAAGATTTGATTGTGGTATCCCTAAAATGTACATTAGATTCTGCATTACACATACAGCCTGACTTGAACCTCGACTATGTTATAGTTTTCTATCCTTGCAATTTTAAACAGAGAAAAACGGAATCCCTAAAGAACGTCCAAAACGACAAAATTGTAACAATTTGCAGTCTCGGTCTGATTGAGCCTGTTCATGGAGTTCATGGGGTATTAGAAAGTACAAGTTAACTTCCACGCCTCCTCACACCGACTAAAGAGGAATTCAACATTTAAACACGAACTCTTACCTTTTTATTCCTTCAGCTTAATGATCTGATCATGCTTTTGAGTGAATTAAATTGAAAGGCATCTTCCAGCCTTAAACGATTCAGATATATTTGAGATAATGTCCACCATAGTTTAATATGTATAACACATCTTTAATTTCACAAATAAAGATGGAAGGTTTCTTAAGTAAATGTTTTATAGCTTGTTGTTTCGTGCTACTGGGCGTTAAATGCGATAAAACTTTGGCCCAAAATGTGAAT